AGAGTCATTGTCCCCGAGAGAATTTGCTGTTACCTTTCGCCTATTTGGCACAAGGTTCTACATATGGGTTTCCACAACTGAACTAACTAGTACATGTTGAGGCCATAACCAGAAGATCGTCATGACTGAAGTGCGCACTGTAATGAGCAAACACTTTCTATCATCGCGGGTGTCTGATGGGTGGAATAACCTTCAATTGGAGATTGTCGTTACTGCATCTGGAAGCTAGTTCAGTTCAATTTTGATGTCTTTTTATGAGTCTTTGCCCCGGAGAGTCTGCTACCCAGGCCTGATTACATGAAGAGTGGTGCGGTACCCTCTTTCGTTTGAGCCTTTCAAACGAGGGGGTTCGAGCAATAGACGTGTAGCGGACTAAAACCTTATCAGCGTGTTCGGGTAAATTAAGAGAAATATTCCTCGTCGGAGTTTCCCACAGATGTTTCAGCGTGCGTAATATATTTCACGGCAGGAAAACTATTCACGGCTATGAAATGTCAACGGGATTTATTGTGATGTTTAACAGTTGACAGACACGGAGATTTGATCCCACTGGTTCAGCAGTCAATAAACAGTTCAACGGAGCGTAAATATGCTCGTTCAGCAAGACGTCAGCAGGTCGCACCGGAAAATCGTGTATTCGTAACATTGAAACAAACGTCATGATGCAATGTGAACGACAGTTGCATAGTGTGGTTGCAGTACAGGAATAATGGTAAATGTGACAACGGATTACAGACGCTAAAGTTCTCTCCCCCAGAGCGTCAGGAATAATGAAAGGGAATGACGCTCGATAATGTGACAAAACACAATGGGTGTAGTCTGCGAGGCGAACAGGAGTCTTGCAGGTTCGACCAACACGTGTTTGCTTCAGGATAGGTGACGGGTGATCGTCAATACGTCTTGCTATATGTTCGAGGTTCCCTGGGATGACTGTACTGGAGGTTCGGGAACTTGTGGGTAAAGTGACTGCAATAGGGGGATCTAAGTGAGAATCGTCATCGATGAATGCAACTTTGAGTCCGTCAATACTGACGGAGTCCGGATTTCCGTTCCTCTCATGCGGATATTGCAACGGTCGTTTGACGCTGTCAACACGGACAAAAACATGTGCACAAGAAGTTAAACCGGGATCCAAATGTGTGCGTCGACTGGATTTCCGAGTTTCAGATGGGCGAAGAGTACGCATATGATCTTGCTGTCGACTGACGTATGTCGATTGCTAGAGGTCTTCATTGGGTGTGGATACACATACCATATCTCCGGGAAGACGAAGCGTTTGTCCATAGACAAGTTGAGCTGGAGCGCAACCAATATCCTTCTTCACGGTATTGCGAATGCCAAGTAATATCACTGATATCCATTCGGTCCACAGCTGTGATGATGATTTAGCCATGATGGCGGCTTTCACTTGTCGATGAAGGCGTTCGACCAGGCCGTTGGCTGGAGGATTGTAAGCTGTAGTTTTGAAATGATTGCATCCCAATAAGTGGCTCAGTTCACTAAACAAGGAACAGGTAAACTGACTCCCACGATCTGTAGTGATGTTCTCAGGGACACCAAAATATGATACCCAAGAATCGACAAGGTGTCTGGCAACGGTTTCGGACGAACAATCGAGCATGGGGGTCGCTTGAGGCTAGCGCGTGAAGCGATCGACTATTGTTAACACATAGGAACGTTCATTGGATGGTGGGAGTGGTCCAACGATGTCTACATGTATATGCTGGGAACGGCGTGCAGGCAAGTTGAAACTTCCGGGTGGCGTAACCGTATGTTTGTGAACTTTACTCAGTTGACAAACTTTGCACTGTTTTGCCCATTGTCGGTTTTCCTTCTGCATACCAGACCACAAGAAACGCTCACAAATCAATCGAGCGGTTTAGCGGATACTCGGGTGTGAAATAGAGTGGAAATGCGCAAAGACTGACCGACGATATTTCTGAGGCACGAATGGACGAGGTTTACCAGTGGACATGTCACAGAGAATTTTAGAATCACAGGTTAAGAGCGGCATATAAACGAACTTCGGGGAAGGATGTGATCTAAGCTCTTGTAATTCTTCGTCATACTTTTGTCTTCCAGCTAGTAATTGCAGGTCGAACGGAGCTTGTACCAAGTGGTTGATATGGACACGGGATAAATCATCTGCAACTTAACTGCTGCGACCACTAATGTGACGGATGTCAATAGTGAATGGGCTGACATAATCCAACTGCCTTGGTTCCCTCGGTGAATGACGATCAGATGTCGCCTGGAGTGCAAAAGTGAGAGGCTTATGATCTGTGAGAATCACGAAGTGTCGGCTTCCAAAAATATGTCGGAGGTGCCGAACGGCTAAGTAGATTGCGAGAAGTTCAC